TGAGGAGTCAGTCCCCGCACAAGGAGTGATGTGGAAAAGCTCTGAGGAGCCCTGGTGGCACGCTGTGCTAAGTGCTGTCCTGCTGATGATTAAAAGGAGTTAGAATCCAGCAGCTGCCCTGCGGGAGGAAGGTGGGTGGTCTCCTGTGGAGATTTACAGCCTTGGACACCCAGCGGAGGGTCACTGGGAGCTGGACGTGACGCATGCAGTGGGCAGGGGATGAGGACACTGCGTGGCCCGGTCCAGGAGGGGTCACACTCAGCACGACCCCCTTGGCTCTGGGTCGAGATCTGCCTGCCATTGGCACATTCGAGCCCACCACTGAGCACATGCCTGGAGGCCCGGCGTGGAGCCGAAGGCCTGCCGTGGTATCAAGGCTGACGCGGCGCCAACACAAAGCTTGATTTCATGGGCAATTAACTAGGGTCTCCGTGCTAGATGGAACTGCCACTCGGAGCCCAGGGCTTCTGGTTCCACTGCTTGCACGTAGCAGCCTGGCTGTCAGCTGGGGCCCAAGCAGAAGGAGGCCTGTCACTGCTTTATTTCCTAAACACCGCTGTTGGTCCAGGGAGAGGCTCAATCTGGACGGTGATTTTGGGCAGCAGGTGGGCTTACGCGTGATGCTAAATACATACTGAATCTTTAAAACGAGCAGCTCATTTGGAGCAGAAAATGAAAACGGTCTGAAGAGGGTTCTCCGTGCAGGGAGGGGTGATGACCAGCTGCCCCAGGAACCCAGGCAGCCAAGGGTGGTGGCTGACCCCCAGCCTTGTGGTGATGGGAGAGAAGTGAGTTCAGAGCCACCACCGCTGTAGCCTCCCGTTCAGCTGGCCCACGTGACTTCCTGGGGGTGAAAACTTTGGGGACAAAATGATTTTTATTCTCCTTTGCTCAGCTGTAAACTCTTGTCATTGAAGAAAGACATGGAGGAACAGGACCACCTCCATGGAGTCAGGATGGTGTTACGAGACGCTGTGAGGTCGATTCTGACTCGTCTGGGCCCCATGGGCCACGGAATGGAACGCTGCCATCTGGCACCAGCCTCCCAGCCACTGTGGCTTTGAGCCTAAGCCGCAGTGCTGCGTCGTCCGTCCTGCCGAGTGTCTTCCCTTTCCCACCGACTTTCCCAAGCACAATGTCCTTCCACAGGGACCGGTCCCTCCTGCTGTCATGCCGAAGTGTGTGAGACAAAGCTTGCCCACCCTTGCTTCTAGGGAGCACCCTCGCCGCGCTACTTCCAAGACTTTTGCTCACTCGGCTGCCAGTCCGTGGAAAAGCCAGGATTCTTCCCCAGCGTCATAGTCAAAGGCATCAGCTGCTCTTTCTTCCTGAATACTCATGACAGTTCTCTTCAGGTTCACCCAGGTTCCCACCCAAATACTTAAGAGCAGTGATGTCAGTTTGAAGACTAAGGTATGCCTGACTCATGCCATGGTCTTTTAAGTCACTTGCTATGATTCCGAGAGCTGGGCAATGAATAAGGATGACGGGAGAATTAGTTAATTGCCCTAGTTAATTGGCCTTTGAGCTGTGATCTTGCAGGAGTGTATGGAGTATCCCTTGGGCTGCCAACAGAACGAGCAGGTCTGCCTTGGAGAAGGTGGGCAAGGTTGGTGCAGCTTCTCTCTTGTACTTCGGGCCTGTTGCTAGGAGAGGCTATTCCGTGGAAAAGGGGGATGGCCAGTGAAAGAAAGGAAGACCCCCGCAAGAAGGACAGACACAGGGACTGCTGCCATGGACTCAAGTGTGTCAGAGGATGAGGACGACACAGCACAGGCCAGCACTCAGCTCCGTTGCTCATCGGGCCGCTATGAGCCATACTTGACTTCAGACTTCCTAGTAACAGCATTCCTTGTCCATGCAGATGAAGGGGTGGGAGGTGGACTGGAGGCTCGTTTTCTGGCGGGGAGGTCCCTGCTGTAGGGCAGGCCCCTGGCAGCTGTGCCCGTGGTGACCCGGGCCACCTGAGCCTCCGCAGCCCTCATCTCCAGCCCAGCCGTTACTGGAGGGAGAAGCAGCACCACGTCTGCAGCTGGAGTGCATTGTAAATATGTGCGTCATGGCTGCTTTGGAGAGAAAATGTATTTATAGCTCCTTTAGTGCCATTGCAGTCTATTGTGTAAATATGCAAATTAGGCTCCCTGATCCACCCAGCAAAATGCCGCGGAATAAAGTGTGTAAGGAAATCATCCACAGCCACCCACGACGCGGTTCCACTGCGGTCCCAGGGCTCGAGGATGTGCCAGAGGAAACGTCCACAGCAGAGCCACGGGCTTAGGGGTCAGGCTGTCCAGGTGGTAGCCTGGTATCAAGAGGGACCAGTCCCTGTGGAAGGACATACTGGTGGCTCCCTGGTCCTGGTGGCATAGTGGGTAATGTATCCTGTGGCTAATTAGAAGATCAGCAATCCAGTGCAAATTCAGTGCAAAGGGACTCAGTTCAAAACCACCAGCTGCTCCCAGGGAGAAAGATGGGTAACGTCCTCCTGTGCAATTTACAGCCTCTGAAAACTCAGGGAGAGTCAGCTATGAGTTGGTTCTGACTTAAGGATATAAACAGGAGCAGCCAGCAGGGAGGGAGAAGGGCAGGACCCCCGGTGAAGATCGACGGCCAGCAGTAGCTGGGAGTCAGGACTGACTTGAGGATGGCGGTAGCTCCCTCCACCCAACTTGGTCCTAGCCAAGAGCTACTGTCACCAGCCACTGCTCTGTTCCCACCTCCCTGTGATGAGGGGGAGAAGGCTCTGGTCTCCTCCCGGGCGCTGGGCCACCCTCCCTGCACTGAACACAAAGCTGCTGGGCGGCTGTCTCCCCAGAACAAGGGCTGGCATGGTGACAAGCAGGGGGCTGCCGACCTCAACCTGCCTCACATCTCCCTGGGAACCAGAGGTGGCTGGGCGGCCTCGTACCAGAGCCCAGGTCTGAAGGTCTGTCTGTGGAGCTGGCCGCTGCTCGTGTTAACAAGGGAACACAAGCAGGGCTCTCTGGTCCTGGGCGCCCTGTGGCTGACTATGGATTCAGCATTGGCAGCCACAGTTTTCACTGGCTGATTCCCAGAAGCCGATCACCAGGCCTTTCTTCCTAGTCCTCCTGGTCTGGACGCTCAGCTGAAATCTGCTCAGCATCTTAGTAACACACAAACCTCCGTGGACAGACAGTGCTGGACGCACACAAAGTGCACCGGCCAGGAATCGAGCTAGGGTCTCTTGCATGAAAGGCAAGAACTCTCGCACTGAGCTGTACCCCATCTTATTCCCAAGCACGCTGCCCCCCAGTCCGTACAGGACCCAGGGGCGGAAGCCGGCCGGGGCTGAGCTGCCAGAGCCCTTCAGCGGAGAAGATGAGCTGATCTGCACCTAATGTTCTGTGTCATGAGGCCTGTAATGGGTGGAGTGTCACCCAACGCCCGAGAGACTGCAAGGTGTTTAAATATTGACAATCCATAAAGGCACTGCGCTCCGCTCTGCGTCACCCCGCGGAGGGTGGGTCCCAAGTCAGGAGGCCCTCAGCCCTCAGGGCTGACCAGAAGGGGACTGTGCTTCCAAATTCTGGGCACCCAAAACAAGTGAAGGCAAAATCCTCCAAAGAAACAAAAACAAAACCCTCGCTGTCACGTCGACTCGGACTCCCAGCGACCCTGGCGGCCAGAGAGCTACTGCACAGGCTGGAGGCTGGGACTCTGCAGAAGCCGACTGCCTCCTCCTCCCACAGAACGGCTCATGGGATTGAACTGCCAACCTTTCAGTGCAAACTCAGAGCAACTCCACGCCAGACCAGCCTCCGAGGTTGTCAGTCACGAGGACAGGAGGCTGCCCATCCTCCCACGGAGCCGGAACCACTGGAGACGCCCGGCCACAGCGCTGAACCCCCACCACGGCCGGTTTCTGCTGCACCCCACTGCTGCGCCGAAGGACGGCAGGGCTGCTCACAGAGCTCCCGCGGCCGCGGGCTTTACCGAAGCAGACTGCCTCATCCTTGTCCCGCAGGACAGCTGGTGGGGCTGAGGAGGGACAGGCCCCTGAAGAAGGGCCTCATGCTCGGAAGGGGAGGGACAGCGCAGGAGAGGAAGACCCCGATGAGATGCACTGATTCAGTAACCAGGACAAGGGGGCAGGCGTGACGGAGCCAGTGAGCTTGGCTCAGGATAGGGCAGGCCTGTTGTACATCGGGTCGCTATGAGTCGGAGGCAACTCGACGACCCAGAACAACAGCTTTATCTTCTACCTCTGTATTTGTGACTGGTTTGCACTCACCATGGTCACACATGCCATCTGAAGGCACTGGCTGCGGCCCCACAAGGCACTCGCCCCCTTTCCTCCCTGTGTTTCCCATTTCCTCTCCTCTTCCTTCCTTTCCCCTTCCTGTCACCCGAGCCTTCTCCCTGGACAAATGCTGCCCTTTTGATCTGATCTGTTGATCTAAGGTGTCTGTGTCCCCCTGGGGTAACTCCTGACTTCACAATTTCTCTAATGTTTGGTTGAAAGCTGACTGAGGGGTGACTTCAGGCTCATCCTTGATGGGTGATGCAACAATTGCGATTGCCAGGTCTTTCTTCCTAGGCACCACTGAGTGGATGTGAGTCACCAACTTTACTTTGAGCAGCCAATACTAATGAGCAGCAACCTGAAGGTTTACCTAGGGAAGGCCTCACCTGACTGAGCCCCGCCCCTGCTGAGACCATGACCTATGACCAAGCCACAACTATTCACAGAGGCCCTGCTCCATCACAGAAGCCCCGCCCCATCACAGAAGCCCTGCCCATCACAGAAGCCCCGCCCCATCACAGAAGCCCTGCCCATCACAGAAGCCCCGCCCCATCACAGAAGCCCTGCCCATCACAGAAGCCCCACCCCATCACAGAGGCCCTGCCCCATTACAGAAGCCCCACCCCATTACAGAAGCCCCGCCCCATCACAGAAGCCCCACCCCATCAGAGGCCCTGCCCATCACAGAAGCCCCGCCTCCAATGGAGGCCCCGCCCCTGACAGAGAGCCATCCCACCTGACGGCCTGGCCTCAATGACATAGCCTGTAGTGGGCGTGGTGCCTGTGCTCCCCTCTGTCCACTGCAGGGTCAGCTCTGAGGAGGACTTGGTCACCGAGATGTCTCTGGGGGATCCTGGGGAGCCTTTGAAATAAAAGAACACAAATGTCAGGGTTGTGGGGATCCCTGGGAGGCGGGGGGCACCTGCTCCCCACTTCCTGTCTACACCTGACACCAACACTCATCCATACTCAAGTCTGAAGGACACTGCGTGCTCATGAGACCCCCTCCACATGTCCTCTGAGCCCTTGGTCGGCAAGTACAGGCTGCCGGTTCGGGTCCCACGGTCACAACAAGCCAGTCTTGGCAAATTCTCTGGATTCCCTGTGCTTTGAAAAGTTAGCCTGGCACTTTCTCAGAGTCCGTTACATGGTGAGAACACGATGCAACGTCTGACAACGAGCTAAGCCAGACAAGCCCTAGATTTGCACATCTGCCATTAACAAGCCCCTCAGACTGAAAACCCCCTAAAGTGCTGCTGGAACCCTAAACCTACACTGGGGGGGTGGTCCCACTGGGGACGGGGTCTTCTCTGCACAGTGGTGAGGCTGCCTTAGTGCAGGGTGTGTTTAAACATCACTTATAAGACATAAGTGAACAGACAGACATGAAGCAGCAGTCAAAGGTGGGAGTCACCCCCCAAAACCCCCAGCCCCCCCAAACAAAAAGTGGAATAGAGCCAGAATGGAGAAACAGCAAACCTTCCCCAATGTTGGTGCTCTGATTTCAGACCTCTGGGCTGCTGATCCTAAGGCTGGCAGTTCGAATCCACCAGCTGCTCTGTGGGCGAATGATGACCAGGGTTCTCTTGTACAGACAGGTCAGAAGCCCGGTGGAGGGTCTCTGTGACTTGCAGCTGGCTCAGTGGCAGTGGGTTTAAACCAGCAGAGGATGAGCCCTGCCACTGAAGCCCCGCGTGTGGGTCTCTGTCACAGCAGAGAGACCGTGAGGCCCTGCTCACTGCCCACCACCCACCACTCACCGCCCACTGCTGGGCTGGATTCACCTTCTCCACCTTTCCTGAGCATGTCCAGGCCGAGGCCAGCACTGAACCAAGCATCCATTCTGCAGACTGAGCCTGCTGCCTTGCTCGCGGGCACCCACGTGAGACTCCCCCCCCTCACCCTGTGCAGGCCCAGCCGTGACATTGGCCTGGGTCTCGGGTCCGTAGGCGATGGTCCGTGCTTGCACCCGGAAGAAGTAGGTGACCCCTTTGGTGAGGTCACGCACCTTCAGCCAGCGCTGCCAGTTGCCCTTAATGTCCACAGTCACAACCTTGCTCACACCTGCAGTGTCCGGAAGCAGAGGGGAGAGAGGAGAGGTCTCAAGTAAGAGGGACAGTGGACAGCACACACAGGCCAGGATGGCGGGGACAGGGCTCTGCGGCCGGCTGGGAGAGGATTTCTCATCATTACAGGAAGCTTAAGCAGTGATAATAGCCAATTTTCAGCGCAGATAAGTGTAATTAAGGTTTAAGCTTGATAAGTGAGCACTGACAGATGGGAAAGGGGGGGAAGACCCAAACAAGTCTCAGAACAACAATGCGGAAGGGGCTCCTCTCAGGAGCAGAAACATGGGGAGAACATTCTGGAAAGCATTCCCCTCCTACGTGACTCAGAATCATACAAATCCCTGGGTGCATACAGATACCCAAAGGCTTCCTGCCACACAACCAGCTGTCATCCTGTCAACTCCAGTCCATGACCCTGTGCCTGTCAGAGTGGTGGTCAGAGAGGAGGGTGACCGGCGGGTGGTCAGAGGAAGATGACCAGTGGATGATCAAAGATGAGGTGACCTCCTCTCCACTGCAAAGATGGGACCCTATGGTGACCCTGAGAGACCCTGCACTGGGCTGCTGTAAGTTGGAATCCACCTGACAGCAGTGTTTTGTGCTTTTAAATAGGGTTTCCATGACTGTGAGATTTCAAACTACTAGGTGGGAGGATTTTACATAAAAAACAAAACAAAAACCTCCCACCTAGTAGGATTCTGAGGCTCCGTCTAACATACTTTGGACATGTTGTGAGGAGAGACTGGTCCTTGGAGAAGGACATCACGCTTGGGAGGGTGGAGGGACAGCGCAGGAGAGGAAGGCCCTCTATGAGGTGGATTGATTCAGTGACTGGGATAATTGGGATGGGAGTGTCAGAGACAGTGCGATTGGCACAGGACAGAGTGGAGTTTAGGGCTGTTGTACATAGGGTCGCTATGAGTCGCAGGCGACTCGACGGCACATAACAACAACAACAACAACAGGTGGGGGGGGTGGCGAAGGGCCTCATGCGTCCCCTGAGGGTTCCAGCCTAGGAAACACTTTGGGGCACAGAGTGTCTCTGAGCTGGAATCCACTTGATGTTGCACAGCCACAACATGAAAGAGACCACAGGGCGTGGCCCATGTGGCCCCACAGAGAACATGCTAGAAGGAGGGATACTGCCTGCCCTCAGCCCAGCCCCACGGGCAGCCCCTCCACATGTGAGGGACCTCTGCCCCGTGGATGTGGGTGCTGCACAGTGAGCCCCCACCACCCCCTCCCCTCCCCGTGGTCTCACCCTGCACCGGCACCAGGGGCTCGTACACCACCCGGTAGCCCTGCAGGACGCCGTTGGCTGCCGCCGGCTCGCCCCATGACACGTTGAGCGTGGTCGACGTGATTTCTGAGAAGGCCAGGAAGCTGGGGGCGCTGGGAGCTGAAGGAGAGAAGACAGCCTGTCACGGAAGCTGCCGGGAGCCCAGCGTGCCCGCATGCGCCATTCGGCCAGGGCTCGGCCTCGGGCTGGATGCTGGAGGATGCGAGATCCATCACCTCGGAAGTCCCATGGTCAACTCGAAACCCAGACCCTCTGGAGGAGAGCTGGGAACAGCGCACATAAACACGGAGGGGGTCTGAGGATGAGGGGCGGCCATCATCACAGAGGAACGGGACGGGGGGTGTCCAGCCTGCCCTCCTCCAAGGTTGGGGTGACAGGGCTCTAACCCAGCACCTTCTACCTCCTCACCACTGTCCCCTCCCTCAGATGGCCATCCTACCCCAAGCTGTCTTTCCCTCCTTGTCCCCCATATCATTCGTCCTCCTCCCCCTCCTTGCCCCCTCCCTTGGCCTCCCCTCTCCCAGCAGCCTGCTCCCTGCCCCTCTGCCCCCTCTGGTGAGGCCCTGACCTAACTACCCACCCAGCATTTCCCATCCCGCAGCCCCAGAACTGCTGCCAGCAGAGGCCGAGAGGGGACGGCGTGGGCTCCTACCTGCCTGGTGGGTCCGGCCCTGCCGGGGTTCACTGGTGGGCCCATCCCCGGCCGCGTTGAAGGCGGAGATGCTGACCAGATACTTGGTGTGGCTCGTGAGGTTCTTGACCTTCACCGAGCTCTCCGGGAGGAACAGCACCTTCATCTTCTCCGTCTCGTTCCTGCTCCCAACCTCCCAGTAATAGATCTGTGAGGAAGGGATGGCGGGGGCGGTCAGCATGCACCCCGACCTGGAGGAGGCCCTCCTGTGCCTTCTCCTGGGCTTATGGGTGCTGAGGGGCATGCAGATACAGGGGGGTGGCAGGGGGAAGTCAGCATGCACCCCGTCCTGGAGGACACCCCCTGCCTTCCTCCCAGGCCCGGGGGCTGCCAAGGGGCATTCCTGGGAGAGGGACACACGGTGGCAGCAGTTCAGATGGGGATTTCTGAGTGTTCAAGCCAATGGACATGGTCGGAGAGAGCCCTGGGGCGGGGGGGGGGGGCTGAGCTCAGCAGGCGTAGTGCCCCCCACCTGCCCCAGAGCTGCCCTTCCTCCTCGCAGGGAGCCCTCGCCGTGGTCCTGGCCTCCTCCCACCCGTGTCCACCTGCCCTGACTTCCACCCCCACAGACACAGTTTTTCAAAGCCAACATCTGCATTTCCAAGCCATGTGATAAGACATGGGACAATAGTCTGTTATATGTCAGGCTGCTTACAGAAAGGCTGCTGGTTTGAATCTCCCTGTTCGTCCTTGGGAGAAAGATGTGGCAGTCTGCCCCGTGAAGGTGTGCGGCCTCAGGGTGCCCCCAGAGCGGCCGTGGGCAGGACCAGAGTTACAGCAAGGGCTATGCTGGAGACACCGAGCTCGGGGGCACCCAGAGCCCCATCCTCCTCCTCCACCTCGCACTGCCAGCTCCACGTGCTCAGGTGGGCGCCACGCCCAAGGCCCGGGATCGCTCCCGTCACAGCTCCTGTCACAGCTGGCCCTGGAGCCTCCGCCAGTGCCACAGCGGCCGGCAGCCCAGAGACAATTGGCCCAAGCTCCACCTCGGCCACGGGAACCCAGCCCCGGCCAGCTCGGGAGCCGATTGTGACTCAGGGTCCATTCTCAGAGCCATCAGATTGTGTCAGTTCCAAGCTGACCCTCCAGTGGGCTTTGCGAGGCAGGAACCCGCATGGGAAGACACTGTTCATGTTTCTCCCGAGCAGCAGCTGGTGGGTTTGAACTGCGGACCTTTGGGTAGTGCAGTCAACCAGAGCGCCTTTTCCTAGGCTAACTGTTGTTATGTGCCACTGAGTCAAATATGAGCCACAGTGACCATGAACATCAGACCTGAGCCCCGTCCTGCCCTGCGCCGTCCTCACGCCGACACACAAAAGCCCCTGCTGCGGTCACTGTGTCGGGTCCGTCTCGCTGACGGTCGTCCTCTCTTTCACTGACCTTCCAGTTTTCCAAGCACGATGTCCCTCTCCAGGGAAGAGTCTCTCCCAGCAACATGCCCACGGTCTGGGAGACGGTCACCTTCTCTTCCGTTCTGGCTGCACTTTCTCCAGGACACACCTGCTCGCTCTTTCGGCGGTCCCTGGGCTATTCGGTTCTCACCCTTGTCAGCTGTCATCCTTGTTCACTGCCCAGCTCTCAGATGCACACCACGTGACTGAAGAGACCACGGCCCGAGTGAGGCACGCCTGGTCTTCCAGCTGACATCAGGGCTCTTCAGCAGTCTGGAGAGGTCTGTGACAGCTGACGAGCCCGGTCCTACACACCCCTGACTGCTGCGTGTGGACTGGATTCAAGGAGGATGAAATGGGTGACGACCATCTCTCATGCTGTTGCTGTTGGTCCAGCGGTGGGAGTTTTGTCTTCTTGGTGTTGAGGTGCAATCCATATTGAAGGCTGGAGTCTGCAGGGCTCCTTGTTGTTATTGTTGTGCACCTCTGAGTCAGAAGGCCCCCCACCCCCCAGCTGACCTCTGATGGATTTTCAGAGCCAGTAAATCACATCGGAGGAGACTACCCCTCCTTCTCCCATGGAGCAGCTGGTGGATTCAAACCACGTTTCTTTGGGATTGTAACACAGTGAAACCCAGGTGGTTCCATGGCCACGTTGGCGGCCCCTGACAGCAGCTCTTCTGAACGTCCATTATCAATGCAGCCTGGGTGCTACTGAATGAAGGTGTCTGAGCCGGGGCGTCCAGAGAGTCCACCCTCAGCACACCACACCCAGCCCACTGGCATCGAGTCCCTGCGGACAGAGCAGAACCTCACGCTGGGTCCCCAAGGCTGAGGGTCTCCACGGGGGCTGACCGCCGCATCCTCCTCCAGGGAGTGGCTGGATGCCGAATGCTTTAACTACGGTGCCACCGTCCCGTTAGAAGCTGGACGCTTTAACTGCTGTGCGCCCTCCCCGTCCTCTGCCGATGAAATCAGAGCTCTGCTCACACAGGCCCAGCAGCCTCAAGATCAATATCCAAGTTCAATGCCATTGTCATTAAGGAAATGAGAAGAGATACTCTGGGCACACACAGAGAGCAGCTGGCCTCGGGGGACAGCGCTCCCAGTGCTGGGCTGACCACCATCTCATTAATCACGTAACACCCCTGGCCAGGAGAAGGCATCCGTTTTCATAAAACATCCACAAAAATCATCCCAAATGGACGTTTAATTGGCCCGATATCAGGAGGTGGGGCAAGCATCCGGCATTGATCAGAGGAGGCCAGGGCCGCCGAGGGGAGCTGGCGAGTTTCCTGTCGGACCGTTTGGAACAAGGCTCCAGGGCCCGGGAGTGAGTGAGAGGGGGCTTCGGTGGGTGTAGGGGGACACACCGCCTCCACCAGCGGACCAGGTCCTCGTCAGTGGACGCTGTCTTCTGCCCACCTGCTCCTGCCCCTAATCCCGCCTCTGCAATGTGTGCTGGAGCCTCGTGGCGCGGTGGTTACGTGCTCAGCTCCTCACAGAAAGGTCAGTGGTTCTGACCCACCAGCCTCTCTGGGGAGGAAGGGGCAGTCTGCTCTGTAAAGATCTGCAGGCTTGGAAGCCCCACAGGCAGTTCTGCTCTGTCCTGAAGGACCCAGTGGGTCAGAACCAGCAGTGCCCGACAGAAACAATGCCCCCGAGTACAGAGGTCCCAAGAGAGGCCGAAGCAGGGAGCGTCCCCAGCTCACCTCCCCCACCAGCAGCCTGCCCCCCAGACAGCGGGCCGGCCAGTAGAACCCATGCAGACTCTTCAGCAGCACCCCATCCACCCCCCATCCCAGCTCTGGTGCTGGACGCTGCCATAGTCCGAGGTGGGGGCTGAGGGACATGCAGTGACAGGAGACAGGTGTCACATGCGCAGGCTTGCCTTGTAGCCTTGGATGTTCCCATTCTGGCTCTCGGGAGGCGGGGGGTCCCACGTCACCTCCAGCTGGCTGGCTGTGAGGGGGTTCACTTGCACATTCTGGGGGGGCATTGCAGGGGCTGTGGAGAGAGAGAGGAGAGAGCTGAACGGAGCTGAGGGGTGGGCTTCACACTCCAAGGCCCCCTGGCTTCCACAGGGTCATCCCTCAGGTGAGTCCTCTGTGACAGGACCCCCTGCCTGGAAGGTGTGTTAATGCACACAGGAAATGCATATGGGGGTGCAGCGGGTGCAAGAAGGTCACCGAGAGAAAACGAGAAAAGCTTTCCCAACGTTCACACATGTCTGTGTGCACTCGTGTCTATGTGCCACTGTGTGTGTGCCAATCTCACTGTCTCTAACACACCTATCCCCATGACCCCAGTCACTGAATCAACCCACCTCATCGAGGGTCGTCCCCTTCTGCACTGCCCCTCCACCCTCCCAAGCATGACATCCCTCTCCAAGGACTGGTCACTCCTTACAACATGTCCAAAGTATGTCAGATGAAGCTTCAGAATCCTTGCCTCTAAGGAGAAGCCTGGCTTCACCCTCTCCAGGACAAACCTGTCTGTTCTCCTGGCAGTCCATGGTATATTCAACACTCTTCTCCAGCACCACAGCTCAAAGGCATCAACTCTCTTTCTATAATCCCTAGTCATTGTCCAGCTCTCTGATGCAAAGCAAGTGATTGCAAAGACCGTGGCCTATATCAGGCACACCCCTGTCTCCAGACTGACATCATTGTTCTTCAGTACTTTGCAGAGGCCTCTGACAGCAGAATTTCTCAATACATCTTTTAACTTCCTGGCTGCTGGTGCCAAGAGTGTTGATTGTGAAGCCAAGAAAACTAAAGCTATTTACAATCTCAGTCTCTTCACCATCCATCACAATGCTGTCAATTGTCTCAGTGGTGATAATCTTTTTTTTCCTTGATACTGAGCTTCAATTCATATTGAAGGCTGCAGTCTTTGACCTTCTGCAGCAAGTGCTTCAGGTCTTAGTTTCAGGAAGCAAGGTTGTATCATCTGTATAACGCAGGTTGTTGATGAATCTTCCTCCAATCCTGATGCCACGTTTCTCCTCATAGAGCCCGGCATCCTGGATAATCTGTTTTGCATACAGATTGAAAAGGTATGGAGATAGGACACATCCTGGTGTACACCCTTCCAATTTTGAACCATACAATTTTCCCTTGCTCTGTTCTGATGACTGCCTCTTGGTCCATGTATAGGTTTTGCATAAGCATGATCAAAAGTTCTGGGATTACCATTCTTTTCAGAATTAGTCACAGTTTATTGTGATCCACACAGCCAAATGCCTTTGCATACATAGTCAATGAAACACAGATAGACATTCCTCTGGTACTCCTTGCTTTCAGCCAAAAATCCACCTCCCATTAGCTACAATATCCCTAGTACCATGGTCTCTTCTAAACCCAGTCTGCACTTACGGTAGTTCTCTGTTGATGTGCTGTTCCAGTAGTTTTTGGATAATCTTCAGGAGACCTTTGCTTACATGTGATACTGCTATTGTTCAATAATTTCAACACTGTTGAATCATCTTTCTTTGGAATAAGAACAAAGATCAATCTCTTCCAGTCAGTTGGCCAGCTGGTTGTCCTCCAGATTTCTTAGCACTACTTGGTGAGCACATCCAGGGCAGCATCTATTTGTTGAAATATATCAACTGGTGTACCATCAATTCCTGGGGCCTTGTTTTTTTGCCAATTCTTTCAGAGCAGCTTGAACTTCTTCATCACCACAGGCTCTGTGGCGTACATACACATAGATGTACGTATGTCTATTAGACGCCATTGAGAAAATTTCCACATGTCAGGGAAGAACTGGCTCATAGGATTTCTGAGAACATAATCTTTATAGTCAAGTGTAAAAGTCCCAAAAGTCCTCTCAGCTGGACCAGTCGGCAACATCACGGAAGGTAGATAAAAGATCAGTGTTGTCCAGGACTTTGTTCCACTTGGCTCCACAGTCAATTCCCATTGAAGCAGCTGTCCAAAAATCAAAGCATTTTGCTTCACAAATCTGCTGTCCAGGGCCCGTTAATGTGTTAAAGAAAAAGGTTGCCACTTTAAAGACTAAGGTGTGTTTGGTCCAAGCCATTGTACTTTCAGTTGCGTCCTGCGCATGTAGAAGTGGACAGTGAACAGGGAAGCCCAGCACAGACTTAATGGTTTGAGCTGCGATGCTGACAGGCAGTGCTGGCTGCCCAATGGAATGTCAGGACACACACATCTGCCTGGATGGACACACGGCCAGGGTGCTCTGTAGAGGCTGGGATGATGAGGCCTTTCTCCTACACTGGGCATGTCCAGAGGGGCCAGTCCTTGGGGAAGGGCATCACGCTGGGGAGCAGAGGGTCCGTGAAGGACGAGAAGCCCCTTTCGGAGCTGTCACCAGGGGGGTGAGGCTGGTGGGCACTGCGAGGCTGGGCTGGGAGCTGTCGTAGACCCGGGGCCTGGACTCAGCACGGTCACGAGGGCACCGAGCAGCAGTCGTTATGGGAGCAGAGTGCCCGCTTTTCTCCCACGGAGCCTCTGGTGGGTTCCAGCTGCCCACCTTCCAGCTAGCGTGGGGTGCTTCACCCATGCCACCAGGGTGCCTCCTGCTGTCGGCCGGCCGAGGATGTGTGGAAGGGCCCGTCTCCAGAGCGACCCCACATGTGGGCTCTTGGGAGGGAACGACCTTCAGGAGTCATCCTTTCGCACACCCCCTCCCCACCCCTGGCACCCCCATGCAGGATAAAATAGTAATTAACGCCCACTGGGCCCGGCACCGACTATTTATTCTGTTCTAACTGTGCGACGGCCGTCTTATCACTGCCCACCCTGCCGTTTGTGGACGTGTTAATAGCCCACGCCAGATGCTGCGTCTCATTATCAGAAATTCTTATTTACTGCTCCATTAAACAACAGAATCGCACAAAAAAACAATTCAATCAAAACTAACTGGAGGGATTTTAACAGCCACATTAATAATCCCAAACATAAATAAAGTTAATGTCTTCTGCATGTTTGCCATCGGCAACTCGATCGAAAAATTACTGCTGTACAATTAACATGTGAGTGCGCACCCCTTACCCTGACGGTGGTCCAACGTCCGCATGACCCCCACCCCTCATCGCCACCTCCCCAGGTCTCCCCCACAGACAACCCGCCAGACCTGCTCCGAGGACCTGAAAACAGGCCCCGGGCTTAGTGCCTGGAGCGAATTCGGACTCACACGCTCTACACACGGGACAGTGGACCGGCCCATGGGACTGCAGAGGTGGCCACCTGTGCAGAGCAGACGGCCAGGTCCCACTCCCGCAGAGCCACGGGGCTGAACCACTGGCCTTCAAGTCAGCAGCCAGGAGCTTACCTACTGCGTCACTCAGGAACTCTGAGACATTTCTAGGTGCCCCAAGCTGATCCCCACTGTCACCCCAGGGACTGAGCAGAGGCCCTCCACGCCATGATCAATACAGACTCGGTTCCAGCCCACCTTTACATACAACAGGCCGGAATCCGGTGCCAGCCTCCCAGTCTCTGCTGCACTCACGTCACTGTCAGTCCATCATGATACGTGTCTTCTGCTTCCTCACTGACCCTCTACTTTCCCAAGGTTGATGTGCTCCTCTCAGGACTGTTTTCTCCTGACAACATGCCTGGGGAATCCACGGGTCAGTTCTACTGTCTCCTACAGGCACGGTTACTCAGAACCAAAGGAATACTGGGGGCTTTGAGTTTTCATTCATTTGGTTTTAAACTTCAGGGCATAGATCACCAGGTCTTTCTCCTGTGGAGCCTCGTGTGAACCACCAGGCCACCATCCAGGAGATGCCCACCCACAGTGCCCCTGGGGACAGAGTGGAACCACCCTCGGACCCCGAGGCCCTAGTCCTCACGGGAGCAGAGCAGAGGCCTGGGGGTGGGGAGTGGTGAACTCCACGTTTAGCAGTGAACACAGACAGGCATTACCTGTGAGGTCTCTCTGACAAGGCCTGGAAATAGCAGCGTTTCAGGCCAGGCTTTCTGGCATTTGCCTATGTAGAGATGGCCTGCAAACAGCAGGACCGGAACACATGACATGGGAAGGGCTTTGGGTCAGCACAGCGGTGTTGTTCATGATCCCAAAGGATCCCAGGGCACAGCCAGGGACCGCCACCCCTGGATCAGACCCCACAGGTGGTTATCACAGGAACACAGCGGTGTCCAGCCAGGGACCGCCATTCCTGGACCCCACAAGTGGTCATCACAGGGACAGTACATGGCTTTGGAGGGACACCAACATGGGACAGCCATGGTGGGTTCTGCAGATTTCCACGAGCCAACAAAGGGGTGACTTCTTAACCACTGTCCTTCATGCCGGGAAGGGTTCAGCTCCCAGTGCCGTAGGGCCCCGGTCAGTCCTGAGCCGTCCGCACCATCAGGTCCACGTTGCCCCTGTGGGACTCACAGCTTCCAAGAGCTGCCTCAGAAGTGAATCACCAGGCTTTCCCGCCCACCTCAGTGTGGCAGCTCAGACGCCTGTCTGGTGCGCTCTATTAAAGAGCAGCTGGAGGGCTTGTCCACGCTGCTGCCGCTGCTGCTAGGAGGCGCCGTCCACCGAGACTCAGAGCCTCACCCGTGGCGTCCACGCAGCGTCCGCCCGCGCCAGCCTGCCCACTGCTGTCACGCTCCAGTCCACCTCGCCAAGGGCCACCCTCTCGTTCACAGACTCTCTGCTTTTCCAGGCACGTCGTCTTTTCCCAAGGGCTGGCATCTCATCACACACTTTGAGACAAAGTTACTCCATCCTGACCTCCAAGGAGTACCTGGGTCCACTGCCTCTTTGTTCTTGGGTCAGTCCAGAGGATGTTCAACTCTTCTTGCTAACACCACAACTCAAAGGCATCGGTTCTTCTGTCAGCGTCCACCTTTCAGAAGCGTAGGAAGCCACCGGAAAGGAGCACCGAGTGCTGCATCCCACCGCGGGGTTGTATGTACCGTCCAATCAGAGCTGACCCTCACCCTCCAGCCGATTCTCAAGGGCCGTTAACCACGAAGTCGCAATTGCTCATCTTTCTCCCATAGAGCAGCTGCTGGATTTGAACCTTGTGCCTTCAGGCTGGCAGCGCAGCTCCTTATCACGGGACTATCAGAGTCCCCGGGACCATACACAGGACATTTCAAGGTGTTGTTTAGCACCTTAAAAGAGGTAGGGGAGATTATGGAGGATTGTGGGAGATAAGGTTCATAAGGGGATGGGGATAGAAAGAGGTGTGGATGGGGGTAAGAAGGGAGAGAGGGAAGGAGGAAGTGGAGATGGAGGGAGGGCTTGTGGATGGAGGGAGGAGGTGGGGCGACCCTCCACGGGATTTCTGAGGCTGTAAATCCCAACACGTGCAGGGGAAAGGTGGACCACTTCCTCTTGTGTGTGTGATTGCTACTGAGGCCCCCGGGGGTCAGCTCCCAGTGGGCCCCGACTCAGCAGTACATACGCTAAGGAATCCTCACAGCAGCAGACACCTGGCTGGGGATGCAAACCGTCCACCTTCATGTTACTGAGAAATAACTTCAGGTTGTTTTCGCACACAGCAGGCTCTCAATGAACGCCTGTTTTTATTCCTACTGTTGTATGTGCCGGTGAGTCAGAACTGACACATAGCTGACCCTCCCGGGGGTCTTCAGAGGCAGTAAATGGCCTAGGAGTTGAAGGCTCATCTATCTCTGGCAGAGCATCCGCTGATTCGAACCTGGTGCCTTTGGGACTGCAGCACAGCTTCTTACTCCCAGGACCCCAGAGCCCCCCGGTAAATGCACCACACCATCCAGGAACTTGGTCATAATTCTACGTCTCTACTCATACACAGCTCGGCTTACTGGCGCCCACAGATGAGACCGTGGACATTGAGAGGGGAAATCGCTGCGGTTTCCCTAACCTGGTCGCCTTGTGTTCCACTGATAATGAACTAGAGGCCTTGCCGGATGAGGTATCGCCGCCCAGTGGGAACGGTCACAGCAACCACTGTTCATGGAACTCCACCTTGCAGACAGAGCTCTGCTCCTTTAAAGTTCCCTAACAGGCCCGCAGACGGGCTTATCTGTCACTAGGGGGAGCTAAAAGAGCTCGAAACGTGGGACGAGTGTCCTTCCAGCGTGGTGATGAAGAGTTTGAGGACTCAGCAGAGGATGCAGACCGCATGCTTGACGCCGTTGGGGAGTCTTTAAAAACCCAAGAAGCCAGTAGGTCATGACGGGACCCAAATGCCAGAATCATGGAAACACCACGTGGTAGGAATAGGGGGTGTCCACCTCCTTCCCCTTCTCTGTCAACATGCATGCGGGGGGCCAGGCACGCCCTGTCTCCTTTCTTGGGGAGCAAAGGGCCTCTTTTCTGCTGTACTTTGTTGGGTGAGGGGCCCCGTGGTGAAGCTCCCCGCTGCCGACACGGGAAGGCTGTTAACAATGGAGCCCTCGGTGGTTCAGCTGAGGAAAGGCCTGGCAGTCGGCTCCTGAGAAGATCACCTAAAGGGACAGAGGGAAGCCGAACGCCCGGCCGGTCCCGTCCCGACTTCCAGTGACCCTCCGCCAGGCTCCGAGGCTCTGAGTCGTCTCTGCCTCAACTTTCTCTCACTGACTTACTGGGGGGTTTGAACCACTGACCTCACAGCTCAATGAACAGGGAGCTATGTAATGCACTGCACCACCAGCACGTCTTCTTGCGAAGATCACGGCCTAGGAAGCCGTGGGGGCAGCTGTTCTCGGTCACACGGGTCGATATGAGCCCGAGGTGAAGGCCCCAGCAGCAGACGCACACACTGACCTGGCCTCAGGCACCGGAGCGGCAGCCAGAGTCCCAGGGCCAGCAGCTGGGGCAGAGCGGGGCAAGTGGCTGGAACCCCGGTTCTCAGTCTCAACCACCCCAACAGGGCTGGGACTGACCAGAGCCTGACTAACACACCCTGTGGAGTTCCTGGGCCTGCAGTCTTCATGCAAGCCCACCACTCTATCTCCTGAGGAGCAGCTGGTGGGTTTGAACTGCCGACCAGTTGGTTTGCAGGCCAACCCATGATGCACTGTGCCCCAGAGCGCTCTACATCACATAGCAAGGGGGAATAGATGCAATGATGTGATACTTCAGATAGTAAGGAAACCAAAGCAGGACTTGGCCATCCACTGTGAGCTATCGTCCACTGGCCTCCTTTAACCGTGACCCCACGCACCGAGAAAGGGAGCCCTGGCTGGCCCTGGGCCAGCCCACAACCAGCCCAGGGGATTTGCAGGTTTTCCTCGTCTGTCTTAGCCTGGAAGCCTGGTGGGCATCTGAGCCGCTCACACGCCTCTGCTGGTGGCAGTGCAAGAAGCCGCCCCCGATGGCGAGGCCGGGGTTCTACTCCTGAGCTGCTGGAGGTAAAGGTGTGACCGAGCCAGCCCATGCCATTTGGGGCCCATGCACCTCCTTGCCACCAGCTCCGGGGCTCTGCAGTGAAGGGGACACCTCGACATGAGACACACAGCCGTGAGGGCTGGCAGCTCCTGTCACCATGGCCTCCCTCCCGCAGCCCCCGCCCCCCAAAGCCCAGCTTACCGGCCTCTCCCACAAAGACCTCCACGGGCGAGCTGGCCGGGCTCTCACCCACAATGTTGTAGGCCGTCAGGACCACCTCGTAGCGTCTGTATTTCCTCAGATCTGCAGACAGAGGAAACGTGGTCAGCACACACAGGGCCACCTCCCAGCCAATGGAGGCACTGCGGCCTGTGATGACACTCAGGGCTGCACTACCCAGGACACTGGTGACCCAAAGAGTCCATTCACTTCCTAGTGACCCTGCAGGAAGGACAGAGCAGAACTGCCCCAGGGGCTTCTGTAAAGAGCACCTGCATCCAGCCCAGCCCACTGCCTGAGACCATGCCAACTCCTAGTGACCAGCAGGGCCGGGAGAACTGCGACGCGGGGCTTCCATGTCGTAATCTTTACAGCAGGGACCTCCGGCAGAACAGTGCATTGCTTGTTGGAGGGCCAATGGAAAGGCTGAGTGTTCAAATGCACCAGCTGCACTGAGGGTCTAAGATTTATAACCTTGGAAATGTGATGGAGGGTTGATGGAATCAACTCAAGGACAGTGCACTTGGTCATGAATTGGACATGTAAAAAAATCAGCGAATGTGTTATATATATATATATTTATATCACAATGACATTTAAGTGAATTAAAAATAGCGTAAATGCCATTGGGGAAAGAGTAGATAGATTTAATAATGAGCATTGAGACATTTAGTTATCCATTAGAGGTAAAATGAAGGAAGCAATGCAGATCCTTCCTGGAAATGTCCATTTGTTTAAACAGATCCTCCTCTCTGTTTCTGTCCCATAGTGCTCCCTCATCTCTAAAAACACACATCAATGAGGGCATAACAAGGTCAGGAACAAGGTCGGAGCAAAAGAAGGGGTGGCTGACTGTCTCTGTAAACACCTGCCCCTTGGCCATGAGACCTGAGGGACCAGATGGTGCCTGCCTACCAGTACTGAATATTTTGAGTAAGTATTTTACCATGATAAAAAGAAGGGAAAATACAGAACTGAATTTCTAATTTCATGGAATCCAGACTTTCTGGATCCAAGGAGGCTGGTGAACTACTGACCCAAGTGCCCTGAGATGATCTTTAAATTTTAAGCCAAACATACACCTGAAACCTTCTTAAAACCAGACAGTAGTTCACTTAACTGCTAAAAAATGTCTGTGCCGAACATTACGTTCTTTGAAGAACTATGGACATAGAACCAAAGTCACCCAGCCCCTGGACAGATCGAAGTCTCAGCGAGCAGCGAACTAGTTCATTGGGAGGGACAACTCAGAAAAGGACGTGCAGGACGTCACCCGGGTCACTGAACTGGGCCTGGCTGGGTTGGTGCCTTGTTTGCTGTGAATATTTTCAGCCACAACAGAAATAAATCATTAAAAAGCAAAACCAATCGTATACCACTGTCCAGAGCGCTGTGAAAGCTGGGAGAAACCGGATATTCCGAGTGTGTGCAGGACAGCAGCGTGAGCAGAACGTTCCCATCCCACTGGAAGGACAAGCAGCAGCTTTACATGTGCACACTCGCACGCCTGAGTTTACAGAACAGCGCTGACACAAGCCCAAGAGTATCGTCAAATCAGACGTGGCAACGCAGCCACGAAGAGCAGCGGCAGTGGCCACGCAGCCCGTGTGGGGGCTGAGCAACGGCGGGTGCCCATCACGCCGGCAACGGACAACTCAGCCCTGCGGACCCGGCTTCTCTGAAAAGTTTAATCTTTTGCTCAGATGGCTGCTTGCGCATTAATTTAGACTTTTTAGAAGGATTGCATTTACATATTATTTATCTTGGGGGGAAATGTCAGAACAGATGGAGGAAGGCTGCGGGCGGCACTGAAGACAACAGGCGTGTCTAACGCAGCCTTTGCTTTTTAATGAAACGTCCTGGGAAGACCTGAACGGCGGAGGCATGCGTGCAGGCTCAGGGAGGGCAGGGGGCCAGCTGCGTGTCTCCAACAACAGACACTGGGAGAGGGAGTGACCCTCAAGCCAGATCATTCTAGAAGGCCCCCCACCAGCCCACACGACCCCACCAGTGACTCTGAGTCTCTGGTCCGTGCGAGCATGCTGAACCGCTGTGTGTGTGTCAGTTCGGCTGCCTTTCAAGGCCTCGCCCCAGCAGGCTGCAGCTCAGCGGCCAGTCGTGTGTAGCTTCAAAGCAGTGTTTACAGGATGCAGCCCAGAGACGAGTAGCTCCGGGGCCTGGGTCCACACCAAGGACAGGAGCCGCAGCCTCCTACCCGCACAGGCTGGGCCCGCCTGGCCTCACTCGGCCAGTGAGTCCCAAGACGGGGGCCACTTGGAGGGGCTGTGCGGGCTTGGTGCACCCTTTCACCTTCTGCAGTTCCAACGCCCCTCGATCTAGCTGTGGGTTGGCCAGGGCCAGGTCCATGTGCCATGTAACGTCCCTCACTACGGAGCCGTCACGGTGACACGTCTGACCCTGGTGGCCTTCAGCCAGCAGAGACCGAGAACGGGAGTATGTGGTGCTGTGGATTCAACGGCATCCTCAGCATGGGTATAAACCCTACTGTCCCTGCCGTTCTGGGTAACCCATTTGGGGTTGGAATGTTCTTAGCTGTGAGAACCACTTCAGCGGCTACTGACCCACCCTGTGGACAGAGGCGAAGGAACCCTTGGTTCACCAGCCCAGCATTAAAGCACTACGACCCAAGGCTCTCGGTAACCTATACCGTGCTGAGCGAACCCGCAGACAGTGAGTGGGGGGAGGTCTGGGGAGCAGTGCAGAGGAGAACGCAGACCTGGGGTGAGGTGAAAGGGGAGGTGCCCACCAAGCCCTTGACGAGCCCCACCCAGAGCAGAAGCTGAGAACAGGGACCCTCCCGCCCGTCCCCCTGCATGCTCTCACCCAGCCCTGTTCTCTGCACTGCATCAGTTAGGTTTGGGGTCCCTCCTTGGTGCCGGGAGCCCGCCCCCAAACAGGGAGCAAAGGAAAACTTGGTGGTTAAAGTCAAAGGGCACCTTTTTGTCCCCCGTCATGAAGACCAGATGTCAGTCCACAGTTCCACACCCCATCCCACCCCGCCCCTATCCCAGCATCCATTTCTAGAACCTTCCACGCCTCCTGCTGGATGCTTGGGGTCTGTGAAGTAGGGAGAGGCCTGGGCCGGGCAGCACTTACGTGTTAGCTCGTACGTGGTTAGCGTGGAGCTGCTGTTCACAGACTTGAAGCTGCTGTGGGCTGTCGGGGAGCAATGAGAGAGCTGTTACAGGCAGGCCTGTGGGGGACGGCAGGGCCTGCTCGCCGCCCAGGGCAGGGGGGATGCCTGCACACATGGAGCACCAGGGGCTGGTCCTCTGACAGGAGAGACACTGAGCCTCCCATCACAGGGGACAAGCTGGCAGGTAGCAGGTACAAGGTCAGAACCCGCTGCTCCCAGGGCCCCTGCAGGCCAGAGCAGAACTACCCCATGAGGCCCCACGGCTGGGATCTTACAGAAACAGACGGCCTCACCATCCTCCCTCAGGCTGGCTGGTGTGTTTGAACCACCGACCTTTCTGTTGGGAGGCGCGTGCTTACCCAGTGCACTATCAGGGCTCCCGAGCTCTTGAGAGGGCAGGAGGGCCAAGTCCTGGGGCTGTGATTTTCAGAGGCTGTGGCCTGTGGTGTCTTATAGATAGCCACCCAGGGGTCCTTCTGCCCGGGCCTGGTGGGCGAGGCCCACTCCTCACCTGTGAGCTCGGCTCTCAGGGCGGAAGGATTCTTCTGGGTCTTGGCTTTGATGCCCAGCCCAGCCTCGGACTCCAGCTCGCGGTAGTAGATCCGGTAACCCATAAGCAGGCCGTTCAGACTCTCGTCCCGGGGGGGCTGCAAAGATATCACACGACAGGACTCAGCCACCCAAGGAGGCCCCACGTCAGCCGACAGGGGCCTGGGGCTCCCTCCCTGCTGGACTGGCCGGCTGCGTAGGAGAGCCCTGAGTGCAGGCACGACTCGGGGAGACGGGGGCTCATCCCAGGACACCACACGCCCTCAGGGAGACTAGGCTCATCCCAGGACACCACACCCCCTCAGGGAGACTGGGGCTCATTCCAGGACACACCATACCCCCTCAGAGACTGGGGTTCATTCCAGTGAACCACTCACACTACCACACCTCAGAAAGATTGGGGTTCTAGCCAACACACCTCCCCCTCAGGGATTTGGGGTTCAAGCCACCATAAGGGCTGCACGGAGCTGGTCTCATGGTGCACAGGGGTGCTACCATGGACAGCACGGTCTACTAAACGTGCACTCATTGCTGTCACGTGCCGCCAAGCGGGAACTGACCCCCAGCTGACCCTCCGGCGGGTTTTCAGGAGCAGTAAATCACACAGGAGGGATTGTTCATCCTTCTCCCATGGGACAGCTGTTGGATTCGAACTGCTTGCTTTGGGACTGCAGTGAAGCTTCTTACCAGTAGGCCACCAGAGCTCCCAGCATTAAGGAAGCATTTGAGTTAATGGGAAAATGGGCAAAATCTGACTCCGAGACACAGAGTGAACAAGTGCTGTTGGAAAAATGGCACAGACTCGCTCGAGGGAGGGTCACCGCGAACCGTCAATCCAGACAAACAAAACTAGACACAAATGCAGGGCCTGCCCAGTGTGACGAAGGCTGGTGCCACGTGCGACGGCTGCCACGGAGCCAGACGTGTACAGTGTCACGTGGCGGACACGTTGTTGGGTGCGTTTCCACACGGCAGGTGTCGCTCAGTTTTTTAGAATTTAATGTGGCAAAGCTCACATGTTGTTACTGCTGTTAGGCGCCGTCGAGTCGCCTGTGACCCCCAGCCGCCCTAATGTACACAGCTCTGAAGCTGCCCGGTCCTGAGCCGGTCTCACTGACGCCGACACTCTTCCCGCGTTGCCCCAGTTACTCTATCAATCCACCTCATCCCAGGTCTTCCTCTCGGACCCCAGCAGAAAGTGGAGACAGGGGGAGTCGCACGTCTCTTTTGGTGTCTCGGTGCACAGAAAAGTTAGGCTGGTGTGATGCTGTGTGTAACAAGTGTGTACTATCCTGTCGAAAACGCAGGAAACGGGAGGGTGGTGACATGGGACACGGAGACGTAAAGAGGCCACGTGCTGTGTGAGAACGAGGCCAGCAGATCTCACGGCTGGGTGCTCGGGTACCGCAGTCAGTGAGGTGACAGAAAACGAAGCAGGTGAAGGTGGGATGCTGTTCGAGCACTGGTCAGTCCCAGCCCTGTTGGGGTGGTTGGGACTGAGAACCGGGGTTCCAGCCACTTGCCCCGCTCTGCCCCAGCTGCTGGCCCTGGGACTCTGGCTGCCGCTCCGGTGCCTGAGGCCAGGTCAGTGTGTGTGTCTGCTGCTGGGGCCTTCACCTCGGGCTCATATCGACCCGTGTGACCGAGAACAGCTGCCCCCACGGCTTCCTAGGCTGTGATCTTCGCAAGAAGACGTGCTGGTGGTGCAGTGCATTACATAGCTCCCTGTTCATTGAGCTGTGAGGTCAGTGGTTCAAACCCCCCAGTAAGTCGGTGAGAGAAAGTTGAGGCAGAGACGACTCAGAGCCTCGGAGCCTGGCGGAGGGTCACTGGAAGTCGGGACGGGACCGGCCGGGCGTTCGGCTTCCCTCTGTCCCTTTAGGTGATCTTCTCAGGAGCCAACTGTCTCCTGGTCCAGACCCCGGGTCCACACTCGTGTCCAGCATCACTGCACACAGGCCCTGGCCCTGAATGAATCTGCAGCATGATAAAAGGGCAGAAAGTCTGGGGTCTGGGGAGGCCCCCGAGGGCTTGTTGCCCCTGGTCCAGGCCCCAAAGCAAAGCCTAAACCCACGGCGCCCGCAGGGTCTCCACGGCGCTAAGTCTTCACTGGGATCCGGGCCTCCTCCTCCTCTGGAGCTGGTGGTTCTGAAAACGCCCTCTCACTTGGCAGTGAGTGCTCTAAGCACGGTTCCACCAGGACGGCTCTCTCCCAGGGAAGGTGTCGGGGTCATAATCCTCAGTCTTGTCTGAGAGCTCGGCTCAGGGTGAGGCTGAAAGCCCAGATCTGACCAGCGCTGTTTGTCAGCAGCAGCTCCTTGGGGTGACAAGAGCTGCCTTCAGGATGTAGGTGCCAGGCCTTTCTCCCGGGGTCCCTCGGAGGGAACCTGAACCCCCAGTCTTCCGTTAGCAGCCCCACTTGTTTAACATTTGCTCCATCCAGGGGTAGGATGCGCCTGGGATATTTCTGCAAGGAAAGGGCTTCAAAACGGCGGCTGAGAATCCCACAGCAACAAGAAGTGGGGTGAGGGGCAGCTGTGAGTGACGCCCACGTGATCCATGGAAACTGTGAGGACAGCCGGGCTACATGTTGTCACCATCCAGGGTCATTAGGGGTGCAACTGATGAGAATTCCTCCTCAAACCTCAGATTTCAGACGGGCCCCCAGACCTGGTGGAAGGCTGAGGCCTCCCAGCAAGAGTGGGTCCCCACCCCGCTGTACGAGGACCCTTCAGTGGGTTTGGGTTCACCGCTGGGGGGCTGCACTTATAGCAAATTATAAAGAAAATGGAAGCAGGCAAGGCCTGCAGGTGAAATGTTCTATGTGGGAATGCAAATCTATATTTAAATGCCGTCTCTTTGTTCCCTTCACTCTAATTTAGCAAATTACTCATAATTTTAATTGTACTGGAACTGCTGGGCGCTTGACAGGTATTTATTCTGACACAGCGTTGCGCTGACCACCTCCTGGTTCTGTTCCTCCTCCAATTAGTCCGTCCCGCTGGCTCGGAAGGGGCACCTGACAGACCCCTGGCTTTGGGGTAGGGAGGCAGCATCCCACAAAGCATGGTGAAGCACGGCTGGTCAGTGGCAGGCGGGGCGGGGAGGCAGCATCCCACAAAGCATGGCAGGCCAGCGACAGGCGGTGGGCCAGGCCGGGGGCCAGGCACTGAGTGGTGACCACTTGTTTGGGAGCTGACCGTCGGGGCTGTGGGCACAGCCTTCCCAGAGAGGATGGGCACTAGCTGTTGGCAGTTGGGCACGTGTCTATGGGGAGAACAGTGGCTTGGAGTGCAGCGTGGCCTGGTGCAACACAACCATCGTCCCTGGAGGTCAGGTTAGTGTGTGTGGGGAGCTGAGTGCAGTCTGCTGACCACTGAGGAGCAGCCGGCAGGTTTGAGCCACTGACCTTCTGAGTAGCTGCTGAGTACTTAACTGTCACCAAGCCTCTCCTCCCAACCCACTGACAGGCACTGTGGTTAGGTTCTACCCTGTGGCAACGTGGGTCTCTACGAGTTGGTTGGCGTGCACAACACCTAATGACAGCACCACGAGAGGGGAGGGGGCGTAATTACAGGGGGGAACATGAACCAGAAGAGGCCCCTCGGTGTCACCACTGAGAGTGGCAAGGCCACTGTGGCATGATGGCTCAGAGACAGGGAGAGGTCAGCATTTGAGAGGTCAGTGAGTGCTGGTCGACCCAGTCTCCATCCACATCACCTCCTCTCTCTTGGTAAAGCATCATGACAGAGCCAGCTACCACTGAGAAGCAACTGCCCATGTGGGTGAGCCTTTGGTCATCTTGCCACCCTTATGCTGGGCACCACTGGGCCAGTCCCAGGGACCACAGACATCATGGAGTCATTCCCAGGTGTCAGGGACCACAGACGCCAAGGGATCAACCCTGTGTCAGGAATGACAGATGCCACAGGGTCAGTCCCAGGGGTCAGGGACCACAGGAGCCACGAGGTCAGCCCCATGTCAGGAACCACGTACAAGAGGTAGGCCCTCTGCCCCACCGAGTATCCTCAGCACGCCCGCTGCGAGCTGACCCGTCTTGCGGAGGGAGGGACTTTCTTTCTTTCACTGACGCTCCATCTCCCAAGCACTAGGCCCTTCTCCAGGGACCGGCGCCGTCGGCCCAGAGCACGTGGGGGAACGCTGGCACATCTAAGGCGCCTTCTGGCCGCACGTCCACGACAGGCTCGCGTTGCCCTTCTGTCCATCCGTGGTAGATTCCACGCCCTTCACCAACAGTATCATGCAGGAAGCATCACCTCTTTGGTCTTCTTCACTCACTGTCCAACTTGGAATTCAAACGAGACGGCTGGAAATAAGAGGGCCGGCTCCGTGCATCTTAGCTCTCCAAGTGCAGCCTTCACTGGGTAACGCTGCCCAACGCAGCACCTCACCTCAGACGTCCTCACTGGTGCCTCTGTGGGAGTGGATCTGATCACCTTGAAGGGTGATCACCTTCGAGAAGTGGTCACTTAGCAGGAGAGAAGAGGTGGAGGGCTGAACCATGACCACCCATCCACACCTGAAGGACGTTCTGACTCTCTGACCAGGATTTTTAACCAGCTGAAGGTGGGTGATTTTCATCTGCGGCTCTCGGCCAGGTTCAAATTGTCTTCTTGTCAAACATTCTTTTAGGTGGTACAGCACTGGTCTGTGTGTTGCTGTACAGAGCTAACTCGTGGTTGCTGTGGTGCTGAAGCCTGTGACAATGATGTGCCAAGCGTGGTAATGGGCACCCATGGTGGACAGTGTTGGCTGGAGCTTCCCGACTAAATCAAGCCTGGAAGCAGGAGCGGCATCCACTTCTGAAATGGCTTGTCTCCGGAAACTCTATGTACGAACAGTGCTCAGGCTGGTCGTTCATAGGGTCGCTATGAGTCGTCTACGACTCAACGGCATTAAACAACAACAACCACCACCATCCCTGTGTATCGAGCGATACTGAGTTGAGCCTGATGAAACCACCACTTTCACCCACCAAACAGGCTCGGACTTCCTGTGACTCAGTACAGACAATACCCAGATACAGATACATCTAACCCAGACACAGATGGTACCACACGTCATACCCAGATATAGATAATACAACAGATAATACCAAGATACAGATAGTACCACACGTCATACCCAGACACAGATAGTACCACATGTCATACCAAGGCCGACGCGACCAGGGAGTGAAAGCCCTTCTGCAGCAGGTGCCCCTTGGCTGGTTAGAGAGCACGTCCATGGTTGGTTGCCCAGCACTTGGCTTCCACAAGCCCCTGGCCCACGCCTCGCCTCTCCCACTTGCTCTCATTAGCTTCACGCCTGGTTCAAGGAAGTCGGGTCAGACGTGACCCTGAGCACTGATGTCACCGAGGAGGGGAGAGACAGCCAGCTCGGGCCTCCCTTCTCCTCTGCGGGCTCCTCTCCCCCGGCCCAGCTCAGGGGGCTTCTGGCGTTCGCATGAGGACCACTGCACATGTTGTCCACCTGCCCCTGCCCCCCAGGGCTGAGTCCTGCACACCAAGGACTCACTTCTTCACAGTGCTCTCCAGAACTCCTCTGCTGTTGGGTCAACGCCAATACAGGAGACCCTGTGATTCTACCACGTGCCACTGACCCTCACTGACCCGCCAGTGAGTTTTCAGAGGCTGTAATTACTTGGGAAGAGGCTGTCTCCCTCCCACCAAACAGCTGGCGGATTCGAACAGTGTGCCTCTGCGTTTGCGGGATAGTTCCTTAGGGCTAGGCCCCCAGTGCTCCCTCTGACCCTGGAGGACAGAGCTGAAACTATCGCACATGGGATTCCAGGCTGCGGGGGCAGAGCCTGTGACATGCTGGGTTACTAACTGCAAGGTCATTGACTTGAGTCCGAGTGCTCCATGGGAGAATGGGCGTTCTCCCCCGTGAAGATCTAAGCCGGAAGCCTGGCGGGCGGCTGTCCAGCGTGCAGCCGCTTGAGCGCAGTGGGCTGTGGGTAATCATTCCAGAATCACACTGCTGAGCTTGACCTGCTGACCCGCTGGCTGACAGAACACAGGAGCACTGCCCCGAAGCCTTTACAGCAGCAGCCCACCCGGTCTGCCTCCAGCATGGTGACTAGCGGATTCAACCCTGCACCTTTCACGTAGCACTCACTGCTTGACCTGCTGCTCGGCCAGGCTCTTGAGGGGAACTGGACGATCCAGCCATCTACCCTGAACCCACAAGGCTGCCAGGGACCTGCTCTCCTCAGACACTGTGAGTGGGGCCAGCCAGTGTCCAGTCAGCCCTGCGGGCGGAGCGGGGTGGCCACCCCTCCTGAGGATACTCACCTGCCACTGGACGAGGACGGAGGACGTGGTGTGAGGTGTCACCGAGACCAGGCTGGGCGGCTCTGCGGGCACTGCGGTCAAAAGAAGAAGTCGAGGGTTACTGCCATTCTGACAGCACGTCCTCAGGAAACCACCTGGCATGCCCGGCCTCCCTCCCCATGGCCCAGGCTGCTGCAATGCCAGCAGGACCCTTCAGTCAGCTTTCCTGAGGGCCCTGGACACTGACTGAATGGCAGGGGTGCCCAGTGCTGGAAGCCGGGGGTCCTTCCCTGCCTCTGCCTCGGTTCTGGCCCCCAGAGGCCCTGTGTGTAAGAGACAGAACCTTCTCCATTCTGTGCCGCCCTCACAGCCCCCCTCCCCAATGCCAGCGCCCACTGTCACAGTCTGTGTCCGTCCTGTCAACAGCCTTCTTCGTTTTTGATGACCCTTTGCCAAGGGTATGCTGGGTCCCTTCCAGCCCAAGGTCCTACCCTGCCGGCTATCTGACGTCCCACTGCACTTGAGAACGCCCCCCCCCCCGGAGCTTTCCAGGAGGGACAGCTGGGCTGCTCCCTTCCAGGTCCGCATCGGGCAGCTCTGCTGAGGCTGCCCCCCTCCGGGTGAACCAGCTCCTGCTTACTGCCATGTGTCACGGTGGCACGGCTTCCAGCGTCAGGGCAGCACGCGAGCCAGGTAAAGCCACCTGACGGCTCTGATGGTCGTGTCACCTCCCTCAGAGGTGGAGGCTGGGAGTCTTCATGGGGTCCCACTGCCTGCCTCCCTCAAGGAGCGGCTGGGAACTTGAGGTACCCAGGTGTGAGACACATGGGGGAACCAGATCCCTACTGTGACCCGGCACTCATTAGGGAACTGGCCACTTCCCGAGGAGCCGGCTCACAGAACGCTTAGACTGTAAGCCAAGAGGCTGGTGGTTCAAATCCAGACAATGGTTCTGCCTGAGAAAGATGTGCCTCTCTGTTCCCTTTAAAGCTGCTGTCAGGGGCCATCGAGTGGACACCTTCTCACAGCGACCCTCTGGGCAAAAGCCTGAAACCTTGCCCAATTCTGTGCTGTTCTCGCCACCTCGGCCACGGGCAAGCCCATCACTGTGGTCACCTGCGTCTTTAAGGATCAGCGCCTCAGAGACCCCGAGGGACAGCTCTGTCCTGTCCCACCCTGTCAGGCCGCTCGCTGTGAGTAGGCATGTCCAGCAGCGGATCTGCGTCTGAGTTTGGGTTAGAGCTTGAAGCCTCAGAGCATCTGGTTTGCGGAAAGGTGTGACCTGCAGTTGGCATCCTGACCCCACTCTGAGCCTTGACCCAAGTGCAGGCACCTTTTGAATCCTGTGAGCTTCCTGGAACCATCAAGCCACCAATATGGCCACGGCACTTCCAGGCAAGCTCAGTGAGAGGCATCCTGCCCTCGGGGGGGACAGGAGGAAGGAAGTGCCAGAAATTCTAACTGGGTTCAGGTGGCGTGGAGTAAGACATATTATTGCTGGGGTCAGATGGCTCTTGGCTGGAAGCAGAAAATACAAGAAAGATGTTGACTTTGTTTTATTAACTGTGTAAGAGTGGTTGACTGTGTGTGGGTCATAATAACTATACATAATATTGGGATGAAGGGGGTTTCAAACGCCTAGCTGTGCCCATGTGGAACGTGCATGAACTAAGAGGCAGTCATTGGAAATGAACAAGGGTTCCGTGTAGTTTAAAATCAGGACAGGTGTGCATCAGGTTAAATCTTTCACTGCACCTGTTCATTCTGTATGTTGAACAAGTAATTCCAGAAGTTGAACTCTATGAAGAGTACATTGAGGTTGGAGGAAGACTCATTAATAACCTGTGGTATGCAGATGACACACCTTGCTTGCTAAAAGCTAAGAAAACTTCCTTACAGGTGAGGATCACCCCGAGCCCTCAGTATGGATTAGCTCAACCAGGTAAAAGTCTTCACCGCGGCACTAGTCAGCAGCGTTATGACAGATGGAGAAAAGACCGGAGTTGTCAATGGTCCCATTGTATCTGGATCAATGTCACGGTAGGATCAGTGCGGACATCTAATGATACACTGCACTGGGGGAATCTGCGGCCAGGGGCCTCTTTAAAGAGCTAAGAAGCGAGAATGAGATTTTAACGCCAAGGTGTGCCTGACCAAGCGTTGGTGTTTTCAGCCACCCCGTGCATATGAAAGCTGGGTGGTGAATAAAGACCATCAAAGAAGGTTTGAGGCATTTGAAATATGATGTTGGGGGGAATACTGGACACATCCTGGACTGACTGGGGTTGAATATGGTTTTTGTGGAAGAAGCCCCATTTAGTGAGGGCGGCATGACTTCACCTCACTCTGGAGGTGTTATCAGGAGGGCGACAGTCCTTGGAGAATGCTCGGTCAAGTGGAGGTCAGCCCGTCAGTGAGGTGGGCCAGCACAGAAACCCCAACAACGACTTCCACATGCACCCACGGGCAGGGGGCAGGTGGGCAGGGTCTCGGTCTGCTGTGTGTCAGGCAGCTGCGAGTTGGCACGCAGCCCACAGCGGCTGATGATGACAACCTAGAGGCCTTTAGCCGTGACCCCTTCTCGTACTCTTTCCACCCCGGGTCTGGTGTGGATGAAAGCAAACGTGCGGGAATAAAGAAGCCAGACCACCATGCGGTCACAGGGCAAGGCCTGGAGGCTGATCTGAAAACTGCTGAGGGGCGGGTTCACTGAGAGGGGAGAGAGGGTGCCCTGGGTGGCCCTGGAACCGGAGGCCCAGGGGACCATTAGGATGCCCCCCGGACGGACTCTGCTCTCAGGTTCCCAGCCCTGGGCCGCCTCATCACCCCCACCCCCAGGATGCCTGCTGCCTCAGAGGGGTGGTCATGGTGGAGCTGGCCCCAGGCTCTGTGCAGGCCTGGCGGCACCAGGTCACTGGACATCACTTGTGTCCCCAGGCTGAGCTCTGCTGGGCGACCCTGACTGGGAACGCCACCTGCACTCCGTAGACCCACAGACCATCACTTAGCGTGCTGTCAGCAGTCCGTGGGGCTTGTGAGCGAGAAGAACAGGGAAACCTCTTAAAACGCAGCCGCCCTTTGACATTTATTAATGATTCCATAAATGATTCACTGGCCAGGATGTTAATGGAGAGCTGGCTTTGGGAAGTCAATCAAAGGCTTCTACCCCGTCTGGAAGCCCTTGCCGTCTTGATTCACAGCCAGTAGTTTGTCGAGCCCTCTCCTCACCACCAGTGAGCTGAGAGCCCGCTCCTGGCCCGGAATAAAGAGGGGGCTGCCCTCGGGAGGGGATGAAGTGGGTGGGCGCCCTGGAAGCTGCTGGCTGTGAGCTTACCATCCTGCAGGGTGGTCACTGCTCCCGTCTCCACGCTGAAGTCACTGTCCCCAATGTCATTGGTGGCTTTCAGGCGCAGCTTGTAGGATGTAAAGGGCCTCAGCCTGCAACACAGAGGGGACCAGTGAAGGGGGGCACACCCGGCTTCCCCTGGGTGAGGAGCTCAGGGGGGCCATGGAGGAAGGATGATGACCTCGGCTTGCTGGTCACCCCCCACGCGTATTACTCTGCAGAGTGGCAGACACCCTGGGGTCAGCCCGGTCATGCTTCCTGATCTCAGGGGGACCTGATGAGCCGGAGTTTCAGGAGGCCAGCACCGCCCACAGACCAATGTCCAGGGTGTGGGCTAATAGCCGGCTCCACAGAGGCAGCAAGGGGGTGAGTGTGGTGTTGCCCCAGCAGGCACCAGAGGTCTGCCGAGGGCTCCTCTGAGGACCCACCTCCACCTCCTAATTAGACAGCCGGGCTGCAAATCACCGCTCTCCCAGGAAAATACCAGAGCTTCTCAGGAGGAGCTGATGGAAGCAGCCGTGAGCTGAGCCTCGGTGCGGGAGCCTGCCATGCTCGCCTCATTCTCTCACCCCACCTCTCAGAGCTCCTGGCACCGGCCAACCTGCTGCCTGTACCCTCCCCTCCACCTCCCTGCTCCAGCTGAAGTTCAATGCCCCCACTACAGCCAGAAGCCACCTGTGCCCTCCCTCCCTACCATTTAGTCAAAAGTTGTGCCAAGTGCTTGACAAGCATTATCCCCCTGAATCCTCATAACAGCTTGGGGAAGCAGCCGTCACTGTTAATCCCATTTTATGGATGAGAGAACAAACACCCAGTCATGTGGAGTGACCTGCTCACCGCCCGAGGACTGGTCAGTGGTTGAGGCAGGATTGGATTGAAACAGTATTTGTGAATCACTTTATATAAGACTATGGTAGTTTAATGGTCCATATGTAAGCATGTTCCCTAGTCCACAAGGAGATTTCAGGGGCACTAATGCTTCCCTAACATACCATGTGGTACCATCCCTCATTCTTTGCTCACCCGTCCACTCATATCCATCCGTCCACCCATCAAAGGCATCAGAACATCTACCAATTCGTCCATCTATCCATTCATCTAACCTGTGTACTCATCTGTCCATCCACTCACCCTCCCACCCAGGCACCCAACTACTCAGGTATACACCTATCCACTCACCCCCCCACTGGTGCACACGTCCATCCGCCCAATCACCCACTTGCTCCTCTCCACCTGTCCATCCACCTGCCATCTACACAACCCCAGCCATCTCCATCCCCGCCCACCTGCCCATTTGTCCTCACCTCCTCACCTATCCATCTATTCTCTCATTCATCCGCTCTTCCATCCCTTCTTCCCCTCTTTCCTTCCTTGAACTATTCAATATTTACTTGGCTTCATGTTCCAAGAACTGTACCAAGTCCAAGACTAGGACTTTGGCCAGTGTTTTCTGGGCAGATAACACTCAATGCTTGATCAAGTCCTGAGTCAGCCACTTGCTCTGTATTTCCAAATAGCCACATGGGAGGTGCTGTACCGGGGACTCTCGTCATTATACACACACAACGCAGTTCAGTATTTCCCTGCTGTCCACGATGGGGTTTGGGCCCCATTACAGCTCTTGGAAGACCAGTATTTCTTTACTACCTTTGCCAGGTCTAGAAAGACACAGGGACGAAGCTGGTGTGGTTAGAGCACGTCAGCTGGCCACAGACACTAGCCTCGGTGTGAGACTAAGAAGGTCAACGGCGGGGAACAGAAGGTGGAGCTCCGAGTGTTAGGTCTGCACTTGGCCCTCACGCCCTGGTGAACCAGGGGGCAGATGGGTGTCTCCAGAATACACGGAGAACTCTGAGAAGGAGCTCACCCTTTTGGCAAAAAGCCAGGCCAGCCCCCCCCCCCCAAACAGGTGCACATAGTGTGGAGGCCAGGAGAGTGAGAAGTCGCTCCACTGCTCAGATGATACCATTGGTATAAACTCCCAAACTCCCACCCAAGATCCTGTTGTTGTTAGGTGTTGTCAGGTATGCCTCATAATGACCCCATGGACATCAGAGCTGAACCTTGTCCTGTGCCATCCTCTTCATCTGAGGCCCTTGAGACCACTGCTGCACTCACTGTGTCACTCCATCGTGTTGGGGGTCTCCTCCTTCCCTGACCCTCCACCTTTCCAAGTATCTTGAGCCCTGGACGGAAGCAGCACATTGCCCACAGCGTCTGCAAGGCTGTAAACCTTACAGAAGTCATCGCCACATCTTCCAGCCAACAGTGGGCAGCTTCTCTCGGCTCCTCTCATGCTCACACCCGAGGGTCCCTCAAGCTGAGCTGACTGTGGTTTCTGGTATCCTGTGTGCCAGGGGAGATGTGCTCCCAGTATCCTGTGTGCCAAGGCAGATGTGCTCTCCGCATCCAGTGTGCCAGGGCCGTTCTGTTCCCAAAGCTTATTTTTCAGGCACAGATCACCAGTCCTTTCTTCCCAGCACCTTGGGGTGGCCAGCCTCCAACTTCTGACATTTGCTGTACATACCGTGCAAGGGCTCCTTTCCAAAGCCAGAGCCTTCCAGATTTTCGCTGTCAGAACTCAGACACTGGAGAGATCTAGGTAACAGTTTTTTGACACAGCACTTGCTATCTAAACTCCTGCTTGTAACCTTCCAGAACGCAGGGAGCGAGTCGATTTGGATAACCAGACCCACATTATCCAATCCTGTGATTACAGCTCCTGCAATCCAGCGCTGCGAGCCAAATGCATTTGGATGCGAGTCCTGCTTGTGCCGGTCTGACTGCTAATCTCCTCTGCACGCGCAGGTTTTAGGCCCCTGGCCAGAGTGTGCAGCCCAGGGGACAAGGTGGGGCGGGGGCCAGTGCACCATCCAGTGTCCTTCTCCCAGAGCAGAACCGGACACTTGCACAGAGAAGGCGGTCTGCACGCTTCTGCATTCGTTTTGGTCGTGATTACGAGAACACACGGGTCCTGAGTGTTCTGACAGCCATGCCTGCTTTTGTTGATTTCCTTCACACACTCAGCCACGGCCTCCAGCTGCTTCTAACTCACAGCAGCCCCAAAGGACAGCGTGGAGCTGCCCCACCCTCTCTGTGGATGCAGACAGCCTCCTCTCTGCCTAGAGGGGCAGCTGGTAAGTTCAAACCACCAGCGCCTGCTAGTGTGCCAGCACTCCGACCTCTGCACCACCAGGGCTCCTCTGCACACTCGTCACGCTCCCTTGGGCACACCTTTCACAGGTACCCTCTACTGTTACACTTTACATGGAAGCCCAAATCAGGGCCACCCCCCGCAAGTTCCCTCACGGGGACCCTGCAGGACAGAGCTGGACAGCACACAGGCCTTCCAAGAGCGTCCTCGCACAGGAGCAGACGGGAGCGGCTGGTGGACTGAACCACCGACCTGCTGGTAAGTGACCAAATGCTTACCCCACTGCACCACCAGGCTCCCTGCCATCTGAAGAGTGAAGAGCCCTGGTCCAAGCGGCGCAGGCAGAGTCCACAGGGGGCAAAGGGAACCCCTGCACGTTAAGTGGGTCCCTCTTCCCCCCTTTGAGACCCCCTCTGCCCCTGGCACTTTCCATTCGGGTCCACGGCAGGGTCCCAGCGCAGCCACACCCTACGGTGGACCCAGAGTTTCCAGCAGCCCTGGGCAGCTTCAACCACTAGAACTCCTCAAGGGCTAGTGGGACCCGACGACAGGCCCACCTCCCTAGTTCTCTGTGCAGCCGCCATCCGGTCCAGACTCACCGCTGTGACCCTGTGGCTGTCAGGGCAGATCTGTGCGCCACAAGGATTTTCTTGTCTTTTTAGCTTTTTCTCATGATTTGGGTGAAAGTTTAGAGTCCATCAGTGTCCCCTCCACCCACCCACCCACCCACGTGTGGCGCTGACGGGGAGCCCCACCCGTGTCAGTGCTCTCCCCGCCCCTCCCATTTCCATTTCCGTGTTTCCTCCCTGGACAGTTGAGCCCATATAACTGCTCGCTGCTCCTTGGCTCTGAAATGGCTGGTTGTTCTAAGAAGCACATTGCTCCCTGTCTATAGACCTCCCTGGCGATAGTCCCCCCTGATGATACGGGCCTGGTGGTGTTTGGCTGAAGGCTGAACCAAGTGGACCCACAGACTTTCCGATGGCTTTTTGGAAACAGACTGCCAGCCTTTTCTGAGACCCCCTCAGATGGGCTCAGACTGCCCAGCTTTTGGTTTGCAGCTAAGTGGTTAACCATTCGTGCCCCTCGGGGACTCCTTCGAGTCCTCTCAACTTGTTTCTACCTGCTGTGTGGGCAGTGTGGTGCAGCAGGCATACCTGGCTGCTAACCGAGAGACTGGCAGGCACCTCAGAAGAATCGGCCACTGAACAGCCCGGGCGCACAGTTCGGCTCTGGCCCACGTGCGGCCATCACGCCTCAGAGACAGCGCATGAGTACCAGCGACAACCTCCCAGGTTAACTCTGTCTGATCTTTGAACCAAAACCGTCTCCTGGACATCAAGTCGGCTCCGACTCGGTGCCCTTCAGGACAGAGCCAACTGCTCGGCCAGGTCCCCAGCCACTGGGTCTTCATGAGGTCAGGCTGCCTGCCATGTCTCCCCCTGGGATGGCTGGGGGGTTAGGGTTAGTTAGGGTCAGCCACTCCATGCTCCATCCACACACCACCAGGGCTCCCAGTAACAGACGGAGGCAGCCTGTAAAAGTGAGATGAGAAACCAGAGAGAGAACGTAGCTGTCAGGATTGGGAAGCAGGGTGGGAGATCACGGCCTGGTGGGGGACGAAATACTGCTTTCCTGGGCTCCAGCAGGTGACAGACTTCCTCGTGACAGGCAGACAGCATTTGTCCTAGTTCTGGCCCATTAGGAAATTGACAAGCATCTCTCCTTCCCCAAATTAAACTGTCTGTCCTGAATCATGGACCCTTCCTTCTTAAGAGGAGTCCCTGGCACACAATCAGTCTGATTTCAGAAGCATTCCCTGGGGGAGGGCCAGGGCTGGGGGAGACCAGGGCTGGGGGAGGGACAGGACTGGGGGAGGGACAGGGCTGGGGAAGGGACAGGGCTGGGAGAAGGACAGGACCGGGGGAGAGACAGGGCTGGGGGAGGGCCAGGGCTGGGGGAGGGCCAGGGCTGGGGGAGGCTGGGGGGAGGGACAGGGCTGGGGGAAGCTGGGGGGAGGGACAGGACTGGGGGAGGGCCAGGGCTGGGGGAGGGCCAGGGCTGGGGGAGGCCTGGGCTGGGGGAAGTGCAGCCTTGGAAGCTGAAATGGAGAGACTGCGTCGTCTACTCTGGGCACATGATCAGGGGTCAGGTCCATGAGGACAACATGGAATAAATGAAAACAGAGAAAAGACCAACCTAGTGCTGAGCCAGCTCCGAACCACGGGACCCGCTCTTGGGTTTCTGAGCTGTAAATATCCAGGCAAGGACACCGTGCAATATTTCCCCTAGGGAGTGGCTGGGGGATTTGAACCTCTGACCTTACAGTTACAACTGAACATGCAACAATGTTATATGACAAAGGCTTGATGGGCAGAGAGTCAATGTGATAAGAGGAAGACCCCCACAGGATGGCCGGATACAGCCCAGGGCTGCACCAGAGCGCTCAGGCCCAGCTGCCACCGTGAGGATGGCGTGTGACTGGGCGGAGTCTCGTCCTGCTGTATACACGGCTGCGGTGACTCCACTGCCCCTTGGTGGATGGCCTCCACACAAGAGGTGTCCTGACAAGTGACCTTCACACAAGGGATGTCCGGACACGTGACCTCCACACAAGAGGTGTCCTGACAAGTGACCACACAAGACGAGTCCTGACAAGTGATCTCCACACAAGAGATGTCCTGACGAATGACATGTCCTGACGAATGACCTCCACACAAGAGGTCTTGACTCCCTCTTTCAGCTGATTACACAAGGACCATGGTCACTGATGTCCTGAGGACACTGCTAATCACCCAGGTGCCGAGACACCCCACCAAGAAGCCTCTCTGATGTGGAGCTGAGGCCAACTCCTGGTGGCCGTGCAGGACACAGATCTGCCTCAAGGGTGTCCAACGCTGTAACCTTTACAGACCCAGACTGTCACCTCTTTGCTCCTGTGCCTGGTGGGCTTCAACACCAGACACTGTGCTGAGCAGCCCAACATGGAATCCACTTAACCACGCAGGCGGGTCCTTCCCAGGGGGCAGCATGGGGCCTCTGGGATGAGGAAGGGCCCTGATGCCACGCTGGGGCCATGCCAGTGCCACGTCCTGAGCACTCAGATCTCCTGGGACAGTCCTGGGGTCTTGGCGGGTGCTGGCAGTCCTCTGCGGGAAGGGCTGAGGGGTGCATGTCTATAGTGACCCTTTCTATCACTCAGAGATCAGTGGAACGCCGGCCACCAGGCAGGAGGACAGAGCTGAGGGCCTCTGCAGGGCTGGACTTCTGGCCACTAGGTCACCGAGGCACAAGAGGGCCACTCTGCCTGTCCTCTCAAGGAGGAGAAAACCGAGGCCAAGGCAGCCCCGTGACAGGGAAACCCTGGCCAGGCAACTATGAAGGGGGATGCAGAAGGAAAGTCAGACCCACACCATGGAGTCGATTCTGGGTGGTAACGAGCCTGTGGGGAGAGCAGAGCTGCTCTGTGGTGTCCCGGGCTGGAAGTCTTCACAGGAACACACCGCCTCCTCTTTGGTCCAGGGAGCGGCTGGTGGGTTTGAACCACTGACCTTGGAGGACAGACAGTGGATGGCCCTGTGAGGACGCATCCAGGGTCCTGGGAGGCCCTTGGACACAGGCTCCAGGGTGAATGAGAGTGTGCTGGGGACCCCAGGACAGGGTGCAAACAGAAGAGGGGGCACTCACTGGTAGAGGACACTTTTCTACGGACTGTGCAGACCCCCCATTCTGCAGGCAGAGCTGCCGGGGTGCCCAGGACAGGGGAGGGTCCTCTCAGCCACAGTACCTCTCGACCAGGCAGGCGGTGGCCTCGTGGCCCACGGACGAGGAGTAGCTGTGCCACGCTCCGCCTGGCAGCTCGCGCACCTGCACCGTGAAGTAGCGGATCGGGGAGGCGCCGTCGCTGCCCGGGGTCCACCGGAGCCGGAGGCTGCGCGCGGTCACCTCGGCCTGGGGGACCAGCAGCTCTCGGGGGGGCGCCGGACGCTCTGCAAGCAATGAGGAGACAGGTGAAGGGGCGCCCTCCAGAAAGGTGAGAGAGGAGAGTGAGAGAGAAAGAGTGTGAGTGTGAGAGTGTGAGTGTGAGAGAGAGTGTGTGAGTGTGTGTGTGTGTGTGTGTGTGTGTTGACCACTGCAGGTGAAGGCCTGGGGACACGACAACACATCAGTGACCTCAGACCAGGGCGCTTACAGCTGGCCGAGGGGCTGCCACCAGGGTCTACCTCCAGAACGATCTGCTGGAGGGGAGAGGTGGGCCTGTGAGCTGTGACAGGGGCATGGCACTGCCGGTGACTTCCCCAGGCCCACCCAGGCCTCACCTCTGAGGGACACTTGGTCACGGGACCTGGGCTCTGAGGACACCTGCAGGTGCCTTGGGCTCTGCTTCTTTCTGAAGTACGTGCATTGCATCTCAACTCCTGGCTCCCTCGCCCTGAAGCCTTGGGCTCTAACGGAATCTGCCTCAGCTGTTTAGATGGGTGTTGGCGTCCTAGGGAGGCACTGGCCACAGCCTGGAGGGGTGATGTGGATTCCCACCCCCTAACCATCAATTCCAATAAGCGCTCTGGAGAGGGAGGAATAATTGTTTATCAGGAGAAGATTGATCCTGATTAGATTATGCAGCATGTAATAAAGCAGTGATTGATCCAGGGGCCTGGGTGAGAGCCTCAGCTCAGTGCACAGGCCTGGGCCCCAGGAGCACAGCTGCGTGGGGGCGGCTCCCCAAATCCCCTTCCTCTACAAGCAGCCTGCTGCACCTGGCTCAGGGCAGCTGGGTGTGCAACAGTAAAACTGCCCATTGGGGTCCTCCGAGCCAGTCCCCAGTTTAAGACAACCAGACCCTCCTTCAGAGCCGCCTCTGGGCAATGGGTTCTCAAGGTTCTGGGGAGTAACGCAGTGTCTAACGATGTGCGTCACACAGGGACCCTCAGCACATAGAGAAAACCGTCTAAAATCCACTGGTGATCAGTCAGTTCAGACTTACACTGACGCTACTGGCGCAGGGCTGCCCCCAGGGCTTCTCTAAGAGTCTTCACAGAACCAGGGGGCCTCCTCTTCCTCCCTCAGGAGGGGGCTCAGAACCACCCATCTCTTGGCTTCCAGCCTAGAGTGTTAACTACTGCACCCCACCCCTGTGATCTCAGCACTGCCGTCTAGGCCATGGTCCTGCTGCCGCACTTTCTAGTCAGTCAGTCCTCTCCCTGACAAGGGGGGGGGGTGCGGCATCGGGAGGTGTCGGCTTAGTCCACCAGCGCCCCTCAGCAGTCCTGTGGTTTAGAACCTGGTCTTCTCCACAAGGCATTGCCTGGAGGTCCGGAGCTAGGGGTCTGGCTTCAGAGCTGACGCCCACACCACTCTCCCGACTCTGTGACCTCGTGGAGTCCCATGGACAGTCTGAGTGGCCTTTCTCTTTTAAAAAGGTACCCTCATGCTGACCCCTGGACCCTGAGTCCACAGACACTACAAGGTTCCAAACGCAAACCAGACCCACAGCTGACACTCACAGGGACCCTGTGGGAAAGGAGAACCGCCCTACGGGGTTTCCGCCCTCAGGGTTTCCAAGTCTGCCATCGTCACAGGAAGCACACCGCCTCATCCTTCCCCACCGAGCAACTGGTGGATTTGAACTGCTGATCTTTCCGTTAGCAGCCAAGCGCTTAACCACTGTGCAAGCACAGGGATGCTGGTCCCTCTGCTTCCCGGAAGGGAGGCCCTCCCTCCAGAGCCCCATCTGCACCCGTGGCCGCCAGCTCTGTCCGCGGTCTCACCTCTCTTCTCCGTGGTGATGACGGTGGCCTCCAGGGGGCTGCCCCAGCCCTGCCGGGTCTTGGCCGACAGCCGGAAGATGTAGGCCGACTCGGGGGCCAGCTCGGTGGCCGTGAACTGCCTCACCGTGGCGCCCACCTCCACAGTGGTGAAGGTGTTGGGGTGGCTGGTGGCCAGGCGGTAGGCGATCTGATAACCTGCAGGGGGACAGGCAGGGGCACAGCGCTGCTGGGTCAGCCAGCTGGTGACCAGGAGGGAACCCATCCTGTTCCTGTCCAGCGATCCCAAGTCCCAGCGACACCCTCCACAGAGCAGAAGGGCCCAGAGCAACGAGGCTGCCAATGGCCTTGCCCTTCTCTGGGTCGTGGCTGTTGGTTTCGAGCCACTGACCTCTGGCTAGTAGCTTAATCACTGCACCACTAGGGCTCTCCAGACCCACCAAGCCCACTGCATCACTTCGATTCTCCCTTCTGGCGACTCTCGTGTCCCTGGGTGCTTTAACCACTGCATCTCTGGGGCTCCCGCCCAGCTTCCTGGACCCTCATCCACACAGGAGGCTCTGCTTTGAGTCACCTCATTCTCGTGGAGGAAGCAGGACACCTGATCAGGGCCACATCTCTAACTGCTGAGGGCTGGGGGGATCAGGGCCCCTCAAGTCGTCAGACCACTCAGCCAGGCTTCACTGCAGGGCAGAGCCAGAGCCATGGGCCTGGCCACTATTGCCTATCCCCCCACTGCCCAGCCCACTTCAGTGCCCAGCTCGTCGGAGCCCACCCTGTCCAAGCACCCAGGCCATCCCAGTGCCCAGCTGGTCTCAGTGCCCAGTCTATCAGAGCCCAGGTCATCCCAGTGCCCA